TTAAAAAATTTATATTTTAAATTAAGTAAATAATTAAATTTAAATAGTTTAAGTCTATCTGACCAAAAATACTCTATTCCATATGGTTGTTGATGTGTTCTATATATTATTTGTGACAGTTCACAGGTTCTCCAATCTGCATTGTGGATCTCTGAGTTGGTCAAGCCAGTATCTGACAATGCTCCCCTTCCCTGGCCAAACCTTTACAAAAGAATTATATTTACCACAATATAAACAAAAAAGCTGCACTTTTTTTACTGATGAGTTGAATGCAAGAAAATTGGTTGCACTAGATTTTCTTTTGCGGTGTCAGAAAAAAGGAAGGTTATTACTTGTGGATACCACTTTTTTCAGGATGTAGCAACAAAAAGATCATATATCTTATTCAACCTAAAATAAAAGTTACTTTGAAATGTTTTTATAAACCTAGAGTGTGAACTACCCCTACCCTTTCTTTGTCTGTCACGCAAATCCCAATAAAAACACTTTTCAAATTTCTGGTTGCCATGAGACAACATGTAGAAAGGTGAAGTAGAACAATAAATACATGAGAAAAGCAGAAAATTGTATGAAACCTCCACAGATTTGTTAACGCCTACTACTACTAATAGAATGCACCTTTCTGCTTACTTTACTTATGGTAAGATTTCAGTTCTCATCTTATTGCAGTGATACACAATGAAATTATTTTTTCATCATTTCCAAATTCAACCCCTGCTTTGATTACAGTCCAGTTTATTACAACATAATAATAAGTAATAATGATCTATTATATAAGGGAGTCTAAAGCAGGGGCGGAGCTAGATGGGGGGCCAGGGGTGACCATGGCCACCCTTAGCCAACAATTGGCCACCCCTACCACTTATTTCCCTCTAATACAGACGGTGGCAACAGTAATACTCTCAAGTGGATAATCCAAAATAAATGATAATTAAATGATCATATATTAACAATTACTTGATGACAAAAACATGGTGGTTAATTATGCACATCAATATACTAACATTAAAGATGATGAGTACAGAATTCATCCGCTTTTCAGAAATAGATTTAGTGTTTAATGGGTAAAAAGAAAATGATGCGTCTCTGCAAGTCATCTAGGAGTCTTCAGTGAAATCATGGATAAACAACAATTTTAATAAAAGATTAATTAATCATTTTATGTAGATATAAGTACTTGTTAATGTCAATATTATGCAGAATGATTACTTATAAAAGTAGATAAGTACTGACAATGGAAAAGATGTTCACCCAAAACTCAAACCTGAAAGAATTTTATCCACTATACCTTTTATCTAGAAAGCACGGATTTATGAATATATGTGTCTTTTTGTAGGCAAAGGCTGTGGGAAAGTATAGTTTTTCTTTATTTAGAAAATATAGATGTTTTGCTCGTTAATTTTCCAATAGGAACAGTGTAGATTGACCATGAGTTTTTGGTGCCTATCTACTTTCGGCCACCCCTCAGTGTACATTAGTTATTGCCTGGCCACCGTTATAACAATTTTCTGGCTACGCCTCTGGTCTAAAGTTCGACATTTGATTGTTTATCTTTATATTATGAGCTGTAGCTGTTCAAAAAAATAAAAAAAAAGGTCTAAATTCTTAGTCTGTAAAGATGTTTTTTTGTATGTGAATTAATAGCTTCTCTGTGTCTGTTTTCCTTTTTCTAACTTGCTGCTAATATCAGGCAGTGTTGCTTATTAGTGCATGTGTCTTTAAGAATATCAGCCTACCTGTGATCATGATCTCCCGTGAACTTCCCATTGAACTGCTGCTCTTGTCAACAGTAGTTGATGATCAGTCGCTCCTTTGAAAGCTCCGGACCCACACGGGCAGCGCTGTGCTTTCTGAGCCCTAAACGGATGGCATCTGTCGCTTCTCCCGTGGGGGATTCACTCCAATAAAAACACAGCAACAAGCTCTCCGTAACTGCGGACATACATGGGTGTTTCTCCGCGCGTGCATTTCCACGCATTTTCCTCCTCTGTCTGCTTGCACAGTTTCGGCAAGTGTTCGGAGCGGCGGCTTGTTTGTTTTTGGCGTTTTCAGACAACTTTGCGCGTCGATACAGAGATCACTTTTTAATATTTATTTCATCATTCGGGTTTTTTTTTGTGTGTGTGTGCGTCTGTTGGATATTTGCAGGAATGGTTGGCAGGAGCGCCCCGCGCGCCCCTGCCTTTAGGAGACAACTTCAGACAGACGGCGCTCGTATGAATCTTTGAAAGAATAAAGAGATCCAAACAGATGAGCAACCATAGAGGCGGAGGGATGGCATCGAAGGAAAGGCTCTATGAGCTGTGGATGTTGTACTATACAAAGGTGAGTGCGAGTGCGGAAGAGCCGATGGTGACACCTGTTGTTGCTCCTCTGCCTAAACTTATATTATGAGCCGATAACACTCAGATGGTTGGTAAATTAGACTTATATGAGGAAATCGCCTCAGTTTTAGCAGCTTACACACAATCTGCGTTATTTTACCTTAAATATGTGGCTGCTTTTTGTAAACGAAAAGAGAATTCGTTTGTCTTTTACATATATTTGTGAACATTTCTGCCATTGAGTAAAGCAGCTTTCTATTTAAGCACTTATTAGGTCATTTACCTGCGATGCAGGTGTTTCTGGGTCTACTTCCTGTTCCTGCTCCTGCCTGTCATCCTCATTCAAACAGAGGCGTAGCCAGAAAATTTTAATAAGGGTGGCCAGGCAATAATAATAGGTGCCTGAACCTCAGGGTCAATCCTCATTGTTCTAAAAGGAAAATGAACAATCACAACATCCATATTTTCTAAATACTTTCTGACAGCCTTTGCTAACAAATAGATGCATATATTTAAACATCTGTGCTTTCTAGATAAAAAGTATAGTGGATAAAATTATTTCAGTTTTGCGTTCCGTCATTACTTACATGGGCGTAGGTTTGCATAGGGACCATAGGGACATGTCCCTACAAAAATGTTGGATCAATCTACTTGTCGCTACCAATAATTCGATGTGAACAACATGTTTATAATTTATAATACAGCATTGATGCATACGGAGCTATTTAAACAGACAGTAAGCAATATAAGATGATGATAAAAGATTGTGTTACATTTAATCCTTTACTATTAAAAATGCACTTGTATAATAGAAACGTTATATGATTGTAGGAAACGCAGATATAATGATGCAGGGCAGCCTCAAGGTGAAGCAGCTGCCTTTCAGTGCTGTATTATGGAAGAAATGTGTTTGGAATGTTACCATAAAATTATGGCTGCAATTAATGTTTATATTGCAAATTGATCATTTTTAACCAAAGTTTCCTCATAGAAGATTTTTTACTAAATGAAACTAGGTGACACAGAAACTTTTCCTCTTGAGTAGTTCTGGATTGTATTAATGTAGCAAAAATCCTGCTGTTCTCTTTAAACAAAATGTGCCCTGATGCTCACATTAAGAGTAAAAATAGAGCATGCATATTTTTGCATAGGACCAGTGACCTCAGACCAATGAAACTGAAGACCAATAGTGTCCCTACCAAAGTTGAAATCAAACCTACGCCCTTGATTTCTTACATACTTTTATTAATAATCATTCTGCATAAAATTTATATTTAAGTGACCCTTTTTCAAATGTTTGATCCAGCTGAAATTTTGTATGTGAAGTTATTTAAATCTCTATAGATTAAATAGCAAATTACAGCCCTGAACTACTTGTGGTTTCTGACTTACAGGTGTTTCAACTGAGTAAAGTCTGAAATGAAATAAGTCACATGCAAAATTTCAACTCGATTAAACATCTGGAAGTGGGCCATGGGCATTACTTATTGAACACCCCTTGTATCTACATTGAATGAATTACTTGTTATTAAAGTAGTTATTCATCTCTGATTTCAGTGAAGATCCCTAGATTACTTGCAGAGACATAATTTTCTCCTTACCCTATATAAGACAAAATCTAGTTCTGAAAAGAGCATTAATTCTGTATTTATCATCTTTAATGTTAATATGCATAATTAACAGCAATGTTTTTGTTGTCAGCTAACTGTTGTTGTATTAGAGGTAAAAATGGTAGCGGTGGTCACAGGGGTGGCCATTAATTGGTTAAGGGTAGCCATGGCCACCCCTGGCCCCCCATCTAGCTCTGCCCTGGCCTGTTTATTATGGATGTGGTTTTGTAAATGTGTTGGAAGGGCCACTGGTGGTCTTTGGTATTACTAGGGTGCAACCCAGAGGATATGTTGCTACCGACTAATAACTAGTTTCAGAGTTGGCTACATCAGTTACCATTCTTTGATCTTTTTGTTTTTGATCATTTGAAAATTAAAATATTTGCCAAAAGTTATACTTTTATTTGTTAGAACTTTCCTTTGACCAACTGATTGGCATTGTCTAGCAATAGGTGGGACGGGGCAACACTGCCTCTTTCTGTGCTCCATACAATTAGAGAACACTTAAGTCACCCTCACTTGTTCTTGCTTCATATTAACCAGGACCAAATACAGGTAGAACCTTAAACTTCTAACAACGTTGTATGGTTTTGAATTAAAAAACAAAATACTTTTATTTTTTTTAATTTGTGCTACATAGTGGTGCAGTTGTTTGTTCAGAGACATGGGTTCAAAGGTCATGGGTTCTAATCCCTCACTGGGGCCTCCTTATAGAGTTCTCCTAATGGATGTTGGGATCATTGCTTTCTCTAAATAGGTGTGAGTGTATACCTGCATGATGTTATTTATTTTGTTGCCGTGTGATGCGGACTGCTAGTTATCAGCACTTACCAACTCCCCTGGCCCTTTGGAGGGTATAGAAAATAAATTGAGAATATAGCTTGATGTGGGTAAATGGCTCACAGGGATCAAATATTGAAGGTATTTACCATTAAATGTAGAACTTAAATGCATTTATTCTCCATCTAAAATTGTAAACAAATTGGATTTTAAAATTGGAAGGGCTGAAACAATTACTTGTATTAATTGCGATTAATCAGTTAATTAAAATAATGGTCAATTCATTTAGTCATTGCATGTTTACTACAGTATAGACTCTACAAAATGTCACACAGAGCACTTAGAGTTTAATTAAGCTAAACTCAGCACCATTCTTTCTCTTTAAATATGCTACATACAGAACTCCTCAAACTCCTCAAGTACTATTTTAAAACCTTAAGTGGACTTTTGAACTGTTTTAGCCATTTTTAATGCAGTTAAAATGTGAATATGTTTTCAGTTAAACCCCCTACTGAGCATACTTTGATTTAGATAATAAAATTTCATTGGAAGTACAATGGCTTCATTAATTGATTTGTAAAATAATTAATTGATGGAAAAGCTCTGCTATCTGTACTGTCAAATGCTATAGCAGCTTGTTCATCATACCGCTTCGAAGAAAGAGTTAATGAGACAACAATCTTGAACAGTTCAAATAAAGTGTTTTACTCCTTCTTAATTTTTAAGGTCAGGATTTGTGGAAAGCTTTCGACTTTCCCCGATTCAAATTCCAGCTTCAGGGAATTTTCTCTGATCATTTTCTCTAGATAAAGGCTTGAAATTAAAACTGAATTTAAACGCAAGGCTTAGTATTTATTGATCCAGTTATCAAAATATCCAGTGATTGAGAGCTGTCTTTTTCCTAGTCCTGATGTACTACAGCAAAAAAAAAAAAGAAGTCTGAAATTACAGAAAAATAACTTTTATTTCATTGGTACTTAGTGATAAAATTTTAGATCCCCTGGATTAGGGAATTGGGAGATAAATAAGCCATAGAACCTGTTTAACTCAACAGTAGACCATCATGTCTTATTTTAACTCTATGTTTATATTTTATCCTGCAGCTAATAATAATAATAATAATAATGGAATAATAATTGCATTCTTGCTTAGCTTGACCCTGAATGTTGCACACAGAGAGCTCAAACGTGTCACAGATGAAAATTAAAACCAAATCACACGATTATTGTGACTAGTGAAAATTCCTATCTTGTTTTATCCTTTAAAAAAACAAGAAGGAAAAAAAAAAACACAACAGCAAGAAAAATAGGCCCTTGGCAGTGACTCATTAATTATTATTTAATGTCTGCAATCTGCTTCTTCGCCCGAAGACAAACACCCCACCTCCATTTTGCAATGAATAATCAGCCTCTCCTCTCAACAGATCTGCAGGTTTGAGGATTAATACATTTCATAAAAAAATATTTCATTATCTATGTTGTTTCACCTGGTGGTGTTCCAGTCCAAGCAACATCAGATATTTAAGATGTTGGTAGCCAAATGTGGAAAATCAGAATGTAGGTGTGGTCCGTATGAGACTCACTACAAACACAAACAAAACTTCACCCTATTATAACATTAACACAAAGATTCCTAATAAAACCCTTAATTAACCAATCAATTAATCATTAACTTGAGTGAAGATACACTAAAACATGCCTTTAGCTGACAGAGCGACCCACTTAGAGCAGTAATTATACCAAAATTATAAAACAAAATATGTTAACATTTTGTATATAAGATAAAAATCTTTTTCGTCTGTCAATATGCCGTATCCAGAACACCTTAAAATGGAAACATTTTAGTTTCACCTTGTTTAATTTAGCAAAAATTCGTCTTTTAGGAACCTTTTGCAATCCGATTATTAATCGATTAATCGAAAAAATAATCAACAGATTAATCGATTTGCAAAAAAAATCGTTAGTTGCAGCCCTAATATATATATGTATATATACATATTTGTAAATATATATTTGTTTTAGACTGACTTTGCACACTTACATTTTTCATGCACCTTTTCCTTCTTTTGCACCTCCTGTTGTTTATTAGAGCTGATGTCACAACTGAATTTCTCTGTTGTGAGATCAATAAAGTCCTATTTTATCTTTAAT